GTCAAATAAAGGTCATGAAGTGCATTGCTCATTCGAGAAGAATATTTGCAGTGAACATATTCTTTTATTTCTCACTGTTACTGTAATGACAAATTCTGTACACAGTTATGAAAAGAGAGAAGATGGTCTCAGATTAGTTTACTATGCAGGTCATTCCTTACTATCGTAAAACAGTAGCACGATCTAATACATGGCGCCATAAGTGGTGCAAAAACTACAATTAAGATGTAATCAATTGTACACATTTCCCTTCTCTTTTTTCTATCTCATATTAATGCTAATGGAAAAAAACTACACCAACTGCACCAACACCTTGGTGTGGAGAATGTGAGTTTTAGGATAAAGAAGAAGAAGCCCATTATTTGCATACAATTAAATTAATCTTTCTGATGAGTCTTTCAAAACAAAAAATGGAGAAGTCTTCTTTGCTGCATCAAAAGTTCCTGACTAAATAGTTCAGAAAATCTGAACATAATGTTAGTTCCATGTAAGCATAAAAGAAAAGGGGGATTTCATATGTTCATATACAGTATGTTAAAAAAAAAGTTTCAAACAATATGAGTGACAGCTTTGCCAAAATAACCAAAGTGTGTCACTGCATCCCCAAATACAAGTTTAAACTGTTCCATGCAAAAACAAAAAGTTATACATTTACTGCACACATCAATAAACTTGCTCGTTCAACTACACATGAACACAAATATTTAATCAGCCAATCACATGGCAGCAACTCAGAGCATTTAGACCTGCAGACATGGTCAAGTCAACCTGCTGAAGTTTAAAGTGAGCATCATAATAGGGAAGAAAGTTGATTTCAGTTAAAGTTACAATGAACACGATGTGATTATTTATGCCAAAGAAGACCACACTGGATGCCATTCTGATCAACAGATCAAGAAACTGAGGCAGCAGTTTGCACTACATAGTTGGGACAACTGAACACTGGAAAATGTTGTCAGTTCATATTATTCTTGACCTCTGCTGGGACATGATGCCAGATGTTAGAATTTGGTGTAGACAACATGAAAGGATGGATCGATCCTTTCTTGTATCAACAATTCATGGTGCTGCTGGTGGTGTAATGGTGTGGGGGATATTTTCATGGAAACGTTTGTGACCCTCAGCACCAACTGAGCATCCTGAGTATTGCGGTTGACTATGTGCAACTCTTCATCACTCTAATGTTCTAATCTTCTAATGGCTGATTCCAGCAGGAACACCCACCATGTGTGAGTTCAAATAACCTCACACTATTATATTTACATGACAAGCTCAATGTGCTCAAATGGCTTCCACAGCCTAAATCCACCAGACCAGCTTTGGGATGTGGCTGAACTGGAGGTTTGTCTTTATGAATGTGCTGCCACAAAATCTACAGCAACTGCATGATGCTATCACGTCAGCATGGAACCAGAATTTCAATTCAATTCAATTTTATTTATATAGCGCCAAATCACAACAACAGTTACCTCAAGGCGCTTTATATTGTAAGGTAAACCCTACAATAATACATACAGAGAAAAACTCAACAATCATATGACCCCCTATGAGCAAGCACTTTGGCGACAGTGGGAAGGAAAAACTCCCTTTTAACAGGAAGAAACCTCCGGCAGAACCAGGCTCAAGGAGGGGCGACAGGACAGAATACATGCTGTGGAAGAGAGCCAGAGATTAATAACAATCAAGATTTAATGCAGAGAGGTCTATTAACACATAGTGAGACATAGTATACATTAGCTAAGACAGCTGGGTCTAGAGATGGCTTTTTGAGTAAAGGTTTAACTTCAGCCAGCTTGAAGGCCTGTGGTACATAGCCGATTATTAGAGATAGGTTGATCATATCTAAGATTGAAGCATTAATTAATGGCAGGACTTCTTTGAGCAGTTTTGTGGGAATGGATCTAAAATAGACGTTGATGGTTTGGAGGAAGTAATTATTGAAGTTAACTCAGAAAGATC